CACACGCACCAGACTGCTCCAAGAAACGGCTCCGTCCAATGTGCCATTTCAAAGAACACACAGCCCTCATACACACACCCCCCCTCAACACACTGCAGACACAAGTCACATACACCGTACGGACACCACCCACACCCCACCAACTTGTACAGAACACTACACTACACACACAGCCCCCAGGGCCCACACCAGCCTCCACTCGTACCCCATTATCCAGCAGAGACACGGCCCGCCCCATACACATACCACCATGCACCTCACACCTCAGTACACACATCTACCTCCCTCAGCACCCTCTACACCAAACACCCTCACCCCCTCCCACATAACCACCTCACAGCTAATTACACACCGCATCCCTCACCTCACCATCACCCTGCACACCCCTCACACCCCCCACTCCCACATAACCACCTCACATCTAATTATACACCATCCGTCACCTCCCCCATCACCCTGCTCACCCCTCACACACCCCTCACACCCTCCACTCCCACATAACCACCTCACATCTAAACCCTTACACACCACATCCCTCACCTCCCACATCACCCTCCACACCACACACCCCCCACTCCCACACTTCACCCCTACACACACGTCTCTCACCTCCCACATCACCCTGCACTCTCCTCACACACACTACCCTACAAACACCACCCTTTTACACACCACATCCCTCACCTCCTACAACCCACTCACACAACCATCACACATATCACCCCTACATACACTACACTCACAGCACGCACATCCCCCACCTTCCACAGCCCTCTCTGCCCTGCCCCCAGTCAAGGGGCCCTGGAAGCCCCCTCGCGCTCACCTGCCGTCTGGTTGCATTCAAAGTTGATGACAGTCATGCGCTGAAAGCCGGAGCTGCACTCATCTCCCCCAAAATAGATCAAGGTGAGGTCTGCATCTGAGTAGCTAGGTCGGGGGAACACACACAACTGTAAATATTTGTTAGAACCAAGGAAGAAAAGCAAAAATTAAAAAAAAAAAAGCCTTCTGCATACCACCACCAAATCACCAGTGACATAAACGAGCCAGCCGGCTGGCCAGCTGGAAAGAGAGGGTTAGAGGAAAAGAGTTCCACACGCAGGGGCTTGTCGTCTGCACGCTGAAAGCCTTCAGAGGCACAAGGCAGAGGTTCTGCTGTGAGCGGGAATAGACCCTCAGGGCTCGGGACAAAATAAATAACACTCAGGACACCCGTGACACCCTGAGCACCAGCCCCACCTGGGGCTGCCCATGTGAGCTGCAGGCCCACCCGAGGGTGCCAGGGTGGTGCTCGACACCCTTTCTTCTGTGGTTTAAAAACTGTGACCGCTGCATTCGAATAGATGAAAGAACTGTCTACAATGAATATATGATAAGGCATTACACATACGACAACAGCCCAGAGTAAGAGGTACATCATTGCAAAGAGGACTGGAGGAGGGAGAGGTAGGAGACTGTAAAACAGTGAATGAATATTGTATTTAAAAAAAGTGAACTGACTGAGGGAGAAAGGAGGGAGGGGGTAAAATGTGCAACAATGAACGAGGGGAAATCTAACTGACCTGTACACATTCACTAAAATCACAATTAAAATAAAAGTTTAAGAAAAAAAGAAATATCAACAATTTAAAACAAAAACAAAAAATGCTGTGTGGAATGCTAAAGGCGACTGGGAATCTTAAACACGCAGGGAAGAAAACGGGAAAGTTCCCTCAAGAGGTCACTCTAGAAGGATCAAAGCTGTCTCTCCTCTTAATGAATGACATCTCCTTGTTAGCACTCGGTGTCCCGCCCGCCCGAGATCTCTCAGCAGATCACTGGGACAGAAGCACCCTGCCCTGCATACAAGCCAGAGAGCAAGTCTCACTGTCACCAGCCGGGTGACAAACGGCCAGAGCCCACGTGGGGCTCTGCAGACAGTAAGGCAGAATGGGACGGACACAGGCAGGAGGCCGTGCACACACCGAAGGGTCTGGTTCTGGTCTCTCCCGGCCACTTTGACCAGGGTGGAGTCGGCCTTCTTCACTTGGCAAATGGCAGCTCCCCTCTGATTGCAGACGTGGGGCTCCACCATGCCGCAGATATCCAAGTAAAAGACGTATTCCTTCCCATCTGAGCTGTAGTACGGGGAGGAGGACGCTGAAGGAGAAGAGGACAGAGTCAGAAGGCCCCCGCACTCCCCTCGAGCCTCAGTCCCAGTTCCCACGCCCGTCCCTCTCTCCGACCTGAGCCCGCGGGTCCCTCTCCTGCTCTGGGGTGCAGCCACTGGCCACTCACATAGGTTCTGTGAGAGGGGCGTCAGGTCGACCGAGATGTCGTGCTGCTCACTGTTGAGAACACAGGTCCTGCTTTCCAGGTAGTCGCGGTGGCAGGCATACTCCGTGATCCACTCCACTTCGTAGCGGCAGTTGGATTTGGCGGTGAGCTTAGGGATGGTGCCCTGTCGGGGACAATCAGGCCCAAGATAGGCTTTGGGGAAGTACACAGCTTAAAGACAGACTTGCTGGGCCCCTGCAAAGCCCAGGCTGCTGGCACCTTACACTTTGTGGTCCTTCTTCGAACCATGATTGCCCCAGATGCATTTGGACTCTGTGAGTTGGGACAACCTGATCTTTGGGTGGTCTCTCAGGCACAGCCCACGCCAGCCTTTCAGGGCTTCAGTGACGCCTGAGCGCTCATCTCAAAGCCCGCCTGTTGGGACCACCACCACCACCTTGGCAAGCAGGCCAGTGGTGACAGAAAGGATGTACCATAAGGCTTGAAGTCGGAGGTGCTGATCCAAGATCAGGGGGAATATCCCACATGTGAGTCTGGGGAGATGGTCCTAGACTCTCTCACAGAGCTGTTAAAGGGCCCTGGGCCTCCCTCATCTGCTTCTGTTCCTCGGAGAGGTCTGGGCACCACTGCCCACAAATCCTGGGCCAATGTGCCACTCTGTTCGTCGAGCCCTGTGTGTATAACCCTCTGCTCGTCCGCAGAGTGGACCGTCGATGTAGAGAGGTCACCACCCCTCAACCATCAGTACCAGGAGCCCCTGGGCCTCTAATGGACTGTGTGTCGTGGAGGTTCTCAACAACTAATGTCTGAGAAGCAAGAGTCCCAAAGCCATTTAGAAGAACCTCTGGGAGGCCTGGAACCTCCAATGTTTTCTGGTTCGCATCAAGCATGTTCCCTGTGTACACCTCTGGGGGCTGGGTCCTGGACGTGCCAGGCACAGGGCTCCGTGCAGGGCTTTCACACAGAGCCCCCGAACGTTAAATCCAACCCTGCTCTGTGAGGCTCGGAATCCAGGCTCCTAAGCCCTCGCTCGGATCAATCTGACACAGTGATTCAGAGCAGAGCGTGTGGTGACAGAAGCCAGACCGAGGACCATCTGCTGAGCGATTCCATTTACACGGAACGTCCAGAGGAGGCAAATCCAGGGAGACAGGAAGGAGGCTACGGTCTCCAGGGCCTGGTGGGAACAGGGAGCAACTGCAACGGGGCCCCGGGTCTGGGGCGGGGGGTGAGGGGGGACAAAAATGTTCCCAAGTTGACTGTGGGGAGGGCTGTACGGCTCTGCGAACACATGCATAACTGCCCGACTGTACAGGAACAGATGAATTTGTACAGTACATAAAGCGTTTTTATTTAGATCCGTGTGACAAGATGAATGGTCAGTAAAATAGCAGCTCCTAAAAGCACTCGGCCGCCAACGTAAACACAGGTAGACCCCGACTCGCTGCGGGCTCTGTACCTACGCCTCCGCCACACTTGGGTTCTCGTGTGCGAGCCAAATGCTTCCACTTACTTGAGGGTTTTCATTATTATTGCCTTTTATTATGAGTAGCTTTATAAATCCAAATTTTACTTGTCTTTGGGGGTGGGAAAGATTACACAGAAGTACAGATCTATTTTAACACTGTGTGGAATATGTCTAACTAACGCGAAGGTTCAAAGAAGCATGGTTATTGAGTGTGGTGTGTTGTAACTCAAATTATGTTGTAAGTCGGGGGGTGGGGGGACTCGCTGCATTTAAATAAACCTTTCAAGTGTTAAGATGGCCCAGGACATCAAACAGAGGCTCTACCCAGTGGACAGCTCGGCTGGAAATGGAACCTTGACTCCACTGAGGAGTAAACTGGCCTCTTGCACTCATGGTCAATGTGGCCCACCCCACACAGGAGAGCAGACGCAGCAGGGAACCCCAGTGCCCTCAACAGTCTCTTACTGAATATGGACTGGGGGTGGGGGGACACTGGAGACCACACCACTCCAAGAATATTGGACCAGGAGTCAAATCTAGGGTCAGATACGAGACATCTCAACAAGCAGTCCACCATTCATGCACAGAACCGGCTTGAACCAATGGTCAAGGCCCTTATAGGAGCTGACACGGGGCATGAGGTGTGACTGCAGGCTCAGAAGTGGGGAGACACTGAGCCGTGACCAGACTCTCACCCCCACAGCTCCCCACCCGATGCAGGCCAACTGCCAGCGTGCAGACCCAGCAGACTGCACACTTGCTGGGGGGAGAAGGCGGGTGGGGGTCTGGCCGGGGACTTCGCTCACCCCGCTGCGTTCTCTAACAAGGCAGCAGAAATAAAAGGGAAACCTAGCCCTTCCTCCCAGGAGAATGCCTGCTTTCTAGGCCACAGCCCAGGGCCCATTAAAAGGAAAACACGTCAACAGCAGACTGGTATGTGCGGACAGAGTCGGGCGCTGAGACAAAGGGCCAGGACCGCGCGGTGCCCCTCATGGAGGTTACAACAGACGGGACATTTATCACACAGCCGTGGAACAGCAGCCATAAATCTCCCCGGGAGTGAGGGAGGGCCGGTCGGCGGGAAGGGGCCAGCCAGGAAGGGGGGCCCAGAGCTCCAGGAAGAATGCAGAAAGCCCCCTTCCGGCCATAATTCTCCCGCACCGGCGTCCCCTGAGCTGCAGCCGCCGCCAGGCTTTCTGCCACGTCTGCAAAACATCTGCACTGCTCGTTCCTGACTGCGCCTCTGAACACTGGGGTGCCGCATCCGTGAGGCTGCCTCATCCAGGAGGCTTCCGAGCCCTCGGACTGTACTTGCAGCCAGGCAACCACCAGGTTCAGGTTATACTGATGGGTCTTCACAAGTCATTAAAATCAACAAACTAGCAGAACTTAAAACCTTGTCTGAGAGCCTCTGACAATTGTCACAACACCCCAACCTGCACTGCTCTGGGAGGGGGAGGGCTCCTGCCCCTGAGTAAAGAGTGAAACCCAAGGCTCCCGCCCCAATAAGCTTGCACTTTCAGCGGGCTTTCTCCTGGGGGGGGGGTCTCCCCTAAAGTCCTGGATTTTCTCTCAGAAAGGGCACTCACCTCTCTCCGCTCTGATGGGCACACAAAAGTAATGGTCACTGCTGGGCTGTGACCGTCACAGAAATCGGGTTTGGTTGTCCCTTCCTTCACATAAGTCAGGACCAGCCTGGATGAAAAACAGGTGAGGGGAAAAAAAAAAAGAAAAGAAAGACAGACTCTGTCAAAAGTACACATTCCATCCAAAGATATTTGCTGCCCTAAACAGTCAGCACATTTAACCGTGGGGAGGAGAGGAAAGGGTAAACAGAGAAAAGTAAGAAAAGTCTGCTAACTTCACAGAACAATGTGTGTTCCAAGTATTAGCTGGACAAACTAACTTCTTCACTTAAAGAACCATAAAACGTTAAATGTATGTAAGACCAACTCATGACGACCCTCTTTTATGTTCATGAGGCTGTAAATCCTGACAGAATGGACCACCCTCTCCTCCTCCCCAGGAGTGCTGGTGCATTCAAACTGCTGGCTTTGGGGTTGGCAGTCCCAGCTCCTGGCCACTGGCATTTCCGTCCTTTAAATATGTGTATATGTATCTACACACACACACACACACACACACACACACACACACGCACGCGCGTATATACAAATGTACTTCTAGTGGAGACAAGAATTTGTGTGGAAAAAAAATTTTTAAAAAATGAATTTGTGTGGATATATGTGAGTGGGTGCCACATATGAAGGCACAGTATAAAATGGCATGCTTCCATTTAGAAAAAAAAATTTCAAAGTAAATACTCATGAGTGTTGCATGACTTAAGTGTTTTCATTTTAAAAAAATTAAAAGCCAAGACACAAATTTCAAATAGCTATTCCAAAATAGCTATTTTGAGTTAAAATGAAAAAAAAAAAAATAAGGTAAATGATCTAATAAAACAAAATAAACCTAGCAGAGACAGCAGTCCGGCCCAGCACGCTCCTGGCCCAGAAGGCAGCGCCACGCCAGCGTCTCCTCAGGGGACACTCAATCCTGAGAGCCGAGAGCTTGGCTCGCTCATGTCCGGTCAGAGCAGAGGCCACCGTGGCTGTGGCAGCGGGTGGAGGGACTTGCTCAAAAGGGTGACTTGTGGGGCTTGGCAGGCGACACGGCTGCTGCCCCAACACAGAGAGGCAGGGGAAAAGTGGACAGAGTGGCTCACCTTCACCCCGAAACTCCAGGTTTATGCCCAGTGTCCCAGATGTTCCACAAGCCCCCCAGCTGCTATCCAGTCGACCCTGAGTTCCAGGGACCCCTTGTGTGCATCATGTTAGCACTGGGCTCACAGGGTTTTCAGTGGCTGATCCTTCAGAAGCACATTCCAAATCTTCCTTCTGAGGTGCCTCTGAGTGAACTCAAACTGCAAATCTTTCTACTAGCAGCCAAATTCATTCCCTGTGCCCCTCGGGGACTCTGCAAAGTGTCAAGTTCCCTCAAATCCTCCTGGGCCTGGTGTTGTTAGTTGCCTTTGAGTTGACTACGACTCGGGAGTGACCCGACAAACAACAGATCAGACTACCCACTCTGTCACTTAGGATACTCAGAAATCATGCAAACATTCCTAACATTATGTTATGCTCAGATGTGGTCGTCAATGCCATCTCTTAACTAGCCACCATGCTGATACCCTGTTAATTCTCATCTGGAGCAAGCTGCAAGGCTTGTCCCAGAGACCCTGGGGTGGGGGAATCAAATGCCTTCATGTATGCTCCGGGCACGGTCAGAGTGATGCCGGGAGAAGACGCACTTTCTTGCTGAGACAAAGTACAGTGGTCCTGTCGGGAAGCTCAGCTCCTGGGAAGAAGGCTTGCAAACTACTCCTCTGCCTCTTGTCTTCGCTCAGTGGCCTTCCAAGAACCAACAGCTACGGACACAAAACTAACTAGGTGGCAGCCATGGAATGGCATGGAAAGCACCAGAATGTTCCCCAAGGTGTTATTTCATAGCATTTCGCTACATCAATCTGGTGGCTTTAGTGACAAGCAGTTGCACCACCAGCCTAAAGGTACCTAATTCAAATCCACCAGCTACTCTGAGCGGGGGTGGGGGGGGGTGGAAAACTTCCTCCTATGGCACCTACTGCCTTGGGAACCTGGGAAGGGTCAGCTATGAGTCAGTTCTGACTCAACAGTACATAGTAACAACCTCTACATCCACACACACCCCATTTACACCCACCCAGGCACATCTCAGAAACACTGACGGCTTGGCCCCAGATCGCCACAATAAAGAGAACAGCACAGTAAAGGGAGTGAGACATTTCTTGGGTTTCCCATTGCAGAGACTGTGTGCACACCACACAGTTGTTTTTTAAATGTGCACGAGCATTATAAAAAATAGAGTCTGAGTCATGTGAGAATGACCCTACCCGGCACACAGAGTGAGCAGGGGCTGTTGGGAAAACGGCACCGACAGACCTGAACGCGGGCTTGGCACAGACCGCCAATTTATGAAAAATGCAATAAAGCAAAGCGCCCAGCAAACAAAGGGCGCCTGTGCCCACACGCGCGCGCGCGGCCGCCACTCGTTACCGGTGGGTTTCACACTTGTGAATGCACCTACTCCCTGACATTAATTTGTGACCCCCAGATGAATAGCTGCTCTGCCGCTGTGGTCTTTCCCGGGCACGTGCGAAGTCACACAAAGCGTGAGTCACCTCCATGCACATTCCCAGCTGAGTTCAGACCGGGCGACGCCCGCCGTCTGCTGTCAGCTCTCCTGCGGAAACAAGGGTCCTTTCTGCAGCCTGTGTAGGGCAACGTTTTTCACAGTTCATGCCTGGTGGTAGTGACTGCCTGTGTTTCAAGCGCTCCAAGTACAATGCTGAGTGTTGTCTGCTGCTCTGCAGTACGAGCCTGGGAGACAGACCGACTGTGTTGGCTCAGCCTCCTCAGGCCCACGTCCGGGTGCCGCCAGCCGGCCGCGTGGTCAATGCTCATCCATCTAGTACACGTATTAAACAAGGTGTCCTCCAGCAGCTGCTGTGAGGTGCGAGTCCGTTCCAGCTCTGAGTGGCCCCACGGACAGTAGGACAGCCCTGCCTGGTCCCCACCTTCCTACCTTCCTCACTCTGGCTACAACGCTTTGGCTGTCTCAGTTCTGCCGTGTGGGAGCTCCTGGTTCGAACCACTGCACCCCGTCGTCACGTCAAGGGTTCTCCTCTTTTTCACTACTTTATCTAGACCGATATCCTCCCTCAGGGACTGTCCCTCCTCCTAACATGTCTTTACAGAGAAAGGCGTGTGAAGCAAAGTTATGTGTCGTGGACCAGTTGATGAGAATCCCATTTCCCCAGGTTGTTGTTGTGGACTGTCAAATCAGAACAGACTCCTAACTGACCCTCCAGCTGGCTTTCAGAGGCAGTAATCACATGGGAGGAACCTGTCCATTTTCCACTGGTAGATTCAAACCACATACCTTTGCACTGGCAACACGTTTCCTTACAATTAAGCCCCCAGTGCTCCCTGCTCCCCAGCAGCCCATTGCTAATTCAGCTTCTGTTACACTGGTGGCTTTACAGACACAGTTTTCACAGCCACGAGGCCCGAGGACACATGAAGCGTGTCCTGGACCCTGACAGGGAACACCTGAGGACTTCTACAAGAGGCAAGCGAGTGATCAGAAAATCGGCCCCAGCTCGGCACCTCTGAGACACGTAAGGTGCTAACTTTGTCGCTACAGGGATGTTGTCTGCAGTGTCCTGGCGAGCTGGTCCCTGCCCAGGAGCATGGGCGTGGAAGTGCTGGAGGCAACATACTGACCTGTCCTTGCCCAAGAGCTTCAGCCCGTCCTTTGGGCGGCCAACATCGAACACCTGGTCACCTTTCACCAGGCAGGCGGCCGTGCCAGAGGGGCAGGCGCGCAACTGAAGGCTGGAGTCGCGCAGGGAGTCTGTCAGAAAGGAAAAGCATTCACGGTCAGACCCGGGTTCAGTCCCCGGCAGCACAGCTACCCTCCGGGCCAGGGTCCCTTCTAGATAACTCCAGAACTTTTTAAGTTTCTACAAGCAACATGAGGTAGAGGTCTGGAAATAAAGAAAGAACAAGGCTGAGCCCCCATTCTGAAGCCCTGGGCTGGTCTGCACATGGTTTTTCTCATCTGTGAGGTGACAGCCACGGCCCCAGCCCCCATCGTGCAGGGCTGCTGGGAAGCTGGGGGAGGTGGGGAAGCATGTGAAGTGTCACCGGGCAGCTGGCACGTCGTACATGCCCAGCAAATAGTGACTATCATGGTATTTATAGTTAAGGAATGCACCCCACCTTCTAGAGACAGACTAACACTAGCATTCTCCCCTTCCGAGCTATAAACAGAGCAGAAAAGGCAGGGACCCTGGAGATGGTGGAGAGATTAGGAGATTAGTGGAAAGAATTCAGACAGTTTTATGTTCAAATCCCAGACCCACCACTTCCTGCCTAACTTCATTCTAATGCCACATCTCTCCAACTGCCAGTCAGCTATCTCACAGGAGCCCGGAGAACTATAAACAAGCACATACTAACTGTGGTGAGCGTGACATTCCCAGCAGCAGAAACATCAATTCCCAGCCTCGATTCCCACTCCCCAGGGCTGCCTATCTCAGTGGCGCTCAGGCCTGACACCCTCCACACTGTCAGGAGTAGTAGAGTCTCTTGTGGTCTTTCAGCCGCTGGACCAGAGGCTCCACGGGAAAGTCCATGCTGCTCATGCAAGACCGGCCTCAGTGAGCACAGGCCTGGCTCGGGGACACTGTGGGGGTCCCTTTGAGTCTCACAAGAGAGCAGGGACTGTCTGGTTTCCCAGGGTGGACAAAAAAATCACACTGACAATATACTTTGGTGTGTTAAGTGTGGAACAGTGTGATGAAAAGCCTGAAAAGCTGCTAGAGGGACCCCAATGGGACACAGAGCCACCAAACGAGCCCACACTGTCAGGGAAGTGGCGCCAACGGACGTGTCTGACGCACAGCTGCCACAAACTTGAATTTGTATATGGAGGGAACATGGTGCATCTGGCCTGTGAAGGGCAAGAAAATGCAATTTTCTGTCCTCAGCCCACAGCAAGGGTTCACAGAAAGACTTCTCCCACGAATGGGTGACTAGCAGCAGCAGCTGTCTTTCTGCTTTAATTGCCTCATCAATCAAGCGGGAGGGTTAGCATAGTTTTCTGTGAGAAGTCACCAGCTCACAAGTGGGAAGGCGAACTTTAACTCTCAAGCCATCCAAATATAGGGAGGGAGGATGAAATTTCACTTACTGGGCTGTTCTGCTCCACATATAGTATTTGCTATGCGGTCGGCTACGTGCCCTCAAAGGGGCCCCAAGCTAGACAGGCCGAGGGATTTATTTAAGGCAAAACATGTGTCAGCTAGTGAGGCGTGCCAGCTAGTGTGCGAGGAGTTAAGCACACAGCAGAAACCCTAAATCCATTCGTGAGGGTTACAGGGTCCCTTTCAAACTTGGTTTGAGGCTCAAGGTAGTTTCCTGCCAAGGGAGAGAGCTGGTCACCAACTTGGGGCACCCTTCAGAGGGAGTCAAAGCTGCTGGGAGTCAAGTCAAATCGCTAGTTGACTGGGACAGTGTGTGGTATCCAGAATACGCAGGGAGTTTAGCGTCTGGAAAATGGTAAAGGGACAGAAATCAAAATCTCTTCTCCTAACCAGAAGAGCAAAGGAGCTCAAAATTCTCTAATCTACAGCCTTCTTCAAACCCAGAGCTGGAGACCCACCCAAGACAAAAACTAATCTTCCTCTGTGTTATCGCCAGAGAACATTAAAGTCCACTTCTCTGAAGAAGGCTTTACTGGCCCAACACAAAAAAATGTAAACTCCTCACTGGTCACTTCTGGCAAGCTGTGCATGGCATATTTCTCGTGTAAACTGTTTAGCAAGAATACCCGAACAAGATGGTATATAATGCTATCATTTTTTTTAAACACACAGAGCTCAACTGTAAAATGACTATTCTCACAAAATGACTATTCTCACGTACACGACCCAGCCATGTACAGTGTGTGTGACTTGTGAGGGACCGGGGTTGGTTTGTTTGTGGTTGGGTTTTTTTTGTTTGTTTTTTTTTACTTTTTCAAACTTTGTGAAGGTCAAAGGCACAGGGACTATGCCTTGGGCAAACACCTCCTAGACAGACCTAATCAGCGGTCTGGGGGACTGAGGAAGAGGAAGGGGAAGTAGGCTGAGGAAAGGAAGGGCCCTGACCTCCCACGCTCCCAGCCACAGACCTATGTCTCTGCAGACGTTGATGAAGAGAGAGGTGTCCGGGTCGGAGTCGTCCACCAGGTAGCCACCGCTACTCTTGATCAGTGGATTCAAGTCATGCTTCTTTAACTCACCATCAAACGCGTAGCAGGGCACCTGCAGGAGAGGAGACCGAGTGAGTGGCCAGTGCGCGTCCGCTCGCGACAAGGGGACAGCGGAGTGGGGGCTGGCCTCCACTCCCTCAGATGATGCCCTTCATCAACACAAGAAACCAAAGCAACTCCATGCTGTCTTGGAATCCCATCTCACTCGTCCAAGGTGAGTGTCAAAAGTAGCTCTGCTCGTTTGCATCCCAGCTCTTAATGGTCCCATCAGCAGCTGTCGGATCTGCCCTTGAAAAAATGCCCACACTCCCTGCCTCCTCTCCCTCAGCACCCCCAGGCCTGTCCTGAATGCAGTCACGTCACCTCTGGCCCGAAAGCCCTCCTCTCAGACCACCAACAGGCACCCTGTGGTCAAGCCCCAGCTCATGGTATCAGTCAACTTGATTTCTTTCATCATGTCTGTATTTTGTTCCCTGGTTGCATGGATCTTTCTTTATGCCCCTTACTTGCCTCTACCTCTGTTTCTAGACGTGTCTCTCATCTTTCTTCCAAACGTGGTGACCCCAAGGACTGATTTTTTGAAAGCCAGCCACCAAGCCCTTCTTCTGGAGCACATCAGATGGGCTGGAACCCGCAGCTGTTCAGTTTGCAGGCCAGCACCCTAACCGTGAATGTCACTACCTCCTCCATCGTTCTTCCAGCGGAGTCTAGGCAGACCTCATTCCTGTCTGTGCTCACTTCCTTGGTGATTTCCTCCACAGCCATGGCTGTACCTAACAGTCAAGGACGCATTACCTTCTCTCTTCCCTGAGCTCTCGACACCAAGCCCTAGACGTGTACAGGCAACCCCAGTGGAGCCGTGGGTGCAAGCACAGAACCAGGAACACAGAGACTCTCAACGCTTCATGGTTACTTGTGGGACCGTGAGCAAATTCAACCTCTCTGTGGCCCAATCATCCCAGGTGTCAAATGAGAATAATAGTTATTGCTTCCAAAGGACTGGGGCTGTAAGGAAGGAGGGAGTTCATGCGTGAAGCCCTCCTAAAAGTTCCTGGCAAGTTAATGGAAGTGTTATCTGCTGACACTGCTATTTACTAAGGTCCCCTGGACAGGGCCCCCTGAGCTCCAGCCCATCTCTTACCACGCCTCCTCACTCCACATAACCACACAGGTCAGCTCTGGGGTCTCCGTTTTTTTACTGTCACCCCTTGAACGGGCCTGATCTATCACGCCCCCTCGTTCCGGGTGGCCACACTGGTTTCCTGATACAGGTCAGTTCTCCATTATTTACTGTCGGCCCTCGGATGGGGCCCTGTCACCTCTGGCCGCACCTTTCACCATGCTCCCTCACTCCACACAGTCACAGTGGTACCACACAAGCCTCCACAGCAATGGGGTTTTGATTGTTTTTTTTTTTTTTTGCTCTTTTTTTGGAGGGGAGACATTGCTCTTGGTTTACTTGTGACTTTCAATAACTGAGCCCTCCTTCAGGCAGTGTCCTCACCACTCCACACGGGATGAACTGAACGTCTGCTGCCTGAATGTGGTCCCAGAAAGCAGAAGCGCACTGCACCTGGGCGACCTTGTCCATCCTCACCAAGGCCGCTTCAGGAACCTACTCTCAGACCTCTATGACATACGGGCCTTTTGAAATAAGGACGCTAGGCACTCATCACAGTTGGCAGGAGCCTCTATGTGCAATGTTCTGGCTGTGCCTCAAGGCACAATGTTCAAGGGCAGACGAGTGCCCGAGGGCGAGCCAGCCTCCTGCCACCCTGCTGATGCCTCTGCTGCTTTGCTCTATTTGAAACACTGCCACAAATTTTATTTCCAAAGCACTACTGCCCTGGTAAGATTACAATCCTGCTCTACCATGGAAAAGCCTAAAAAGCTCTCTTCCCTGCACTCATTTAAACATAATTTGTTTTATCACTTTCCATGGAACAACTTCCTAAAATTCTGCCTTCCAGACTAAAGACGTTCACAGGCAGGGCTACTCACAGCCTCCGTTCAGCCTCATGCTTCCCTCTCAGGTTTTTGTTAGAAAGTGGGTACCGAACCCACAGGAATGTGCTAACCTGCTAACCTCTTCCCTGTCCAGTCTGCTGAGAGACTTCTCAGCAAGCCAGCAATGACTCCAGTGTCCCAGGCACCTCTAGGGCACATGAAGGCTTCCCAATTACTCCCTGAAAGTCAGTCCTCTTCACCCAAGGAGACTTTCTTACTCAGCCACAATGAGGTCAGGGCCCCGGGCTCCAAGGGCTCAGGCCACCAGAACCAGTGAGGGCAAAGGTCAGCGGCCAGGCCAGCCCACAGTGCAGCAGTCAAATAAAAGAAAGTGTGACTGCTGAGTGGGACGAGAGCCCAGGAGAAAGCAACCGCATGAGTCCCATATGCCCACGACGCTAGGCTTGTCATTCCACAGCGCAGAAATTCAGGGGCTCCAAGTCCACTTCAGGGAAGGAGGGCAGGAGGGCACTGGGCAGACTGGCAGGACACAGGGAAAGCAGCTACCGTCCGACTGGCTAAAGTAGAGGCTGAGAGCAGAGGCAGCAGTGGGTGGCAGCCAGGGGCAGCAGGGGCGGGTGGGAGAGCTGCCACAGTGCTGGCCCAGGCTCAGGGAGGCAGCTCGCAGCACCAGCTCAGGGCAGTGGGCCACAGTCTCCCTCCTCAAGGAGGGAGCAGAGGTGTCACCTCACTGCATTTCCCACCCCCCAGACACTGCTGCGTAGCTGCTGGGGAAGTGTGAGGTGGAGAACTCCCCTCTCTCACTCTGTGTGGTGGGGCCACGCAGACTCCAAAGAGCAGAGGAACTTAGCTGCCATGCGGGGCGGCATGTTGGCTTGAGGCATCTCACCCTGCAGCCACGGTGCTGCTCCTGACTAAGGTATATTCACCCTACTTATTCAACTCCCTAAGGCTGTGGGCATGCCTGCTCTGTATTTTTCTACATTCCCAGAAGTGCTATGAGAGGCCACATATATTCACGATGTTTTAAAGAAATAATTGTGTATTAAAAAAAAAAAACCACAAAAAATACCGAAAGAAAGAAAGTAGTCCTCCTAGAATCCACCGAACAGGCATTGTCCCAAGTGGTCAGGGAGATTGTGATCTCTGCCATCAAATCACTCTGAATTCGACAAAGCAAAACAGAAGAAACGGAGAGACAGTAAAAGTGCGGCAAACCACGGCCCCAAGGGCACTAAGCCAGATTTTAGGTTCCTTCTCCCACCCCCTTTAAGGGGTGATGAGTGCTCTGACAAGGACATAAAACATTTACTATGTTTTCTGAAGTCACCCTCTGTAAGGTGTAATGAAATCACACTTAAGAGGAGGGGGGAAGCAGCATGGTTTATTAGGGGCTGGCAGTGAGGATCGCGGCTCCCCCCGTTAGCAGACAATATGCTCTTCACCCCCTCACTACTCCACCACCCCTCCCCAGGCAGGAAGAGGAAAGCTGAAACCGTGAACACGAACACGGCTATGTCCCTCACATCCCTAGTCTCTGGGATCCCTGAAAGCAAAGGCCAGTTTAGGATTTTATGACCATCGCACAGTTTAGCCTACAACTGACGCTCAATAAATAGAAAACGAAAACCGAATCACTAGAAGCCCGGCTGCCAACCGTGCCTAAATCCAACTGCACACATTTCTCACGCTGCGATCAGCTTCTAAAAGAAATGGAAATGCACTGCTTTGAGAAAAACACAGACCGCACTTCCTCACCTGCACCTGGCCACCCAGAGGAAGTGTTTAGACCGGAGGTCAGCAGCCTTTCTCCATAAAGGGCCACACAGTTAAATATCTGCGACGCTGGGGCTCTCTGGTGCCTTATCGTTGTCACTGTTTAGAACTTAGAAAAATGTAAAACTCACTTTCTTAATTCCACAGCTGGACAAAAACAGGCCAGGTGCAGGGAGAGCCCAAGGTAGGGCCCATGGTCTGCTCCAGAGCCCCAAGACTATAGAAAGCAAGTTGTTCTTTCTTTACTCTGAAGAAAGTAAATTTTTCCTAGGTGGGTGGAAGACACAAGACTCACAGCAGGAAAACAAGGGAACAGGAACACTGAAGTAAAACAGAAAACATGGGGCCCACACTCAGGTGAGGGAGTCCACACGCAGATAAACCTCTGTGGGGCAGAAGGGGCCCAAGTTTGAGCAAAGGACATCAGAAGACTCCCTTCTCTGTTGCCTCCAGCTAGAAGTACCTTTGGTTCAGCCACGTGGATGCTTTAAAATGAACAACCACCCAGCCCTGGTCCCCAGTGGATATCTGGTTTTGTTGTTGTTGTTGCTTCTTAAGAATCTCTTCTTACTAAGAGCATATGATGCAATGCTTTCACAAAAGGTTTAAAACTTAAGTCAGGTTAGGATTTGATGTCACTGTGGTCCAAACTATTAACAGTCTGCTGCTAACTCAAAGGCTGGTAGTTCAAGGTCACCCAGAAGCACCTTGGAGGAAAGAGCGGATCATCTTTCTCCACAACAGTCCACCACTAGAAGTTCTGCAGAGCACGTTTGTTGTACTGGGATGCCATGAGTCAAGGTCACAGCAACTGGTGGCCTAAAAATAACTCCTCCTCCTGATCACACTTGAATTCTTTCTCGACTTCAAACTTCTCTTTCATTAAACATTTTTATGGTCTTCCAGCGAGCAGGCACCATGATACCTCTCTTCCTTCCTTATCAGAACTTCTTTTCTTGCAAAGGCTGCCATATCTGCACGTCACTGATACTTCATTATTTGTTTCATTTTTAAGAAACAAACCTTTTTGGTCCTAAAACAATATTTGCATGCCTTCCCTTGAATCCCTCTCACCTCCCAAAAGTCCTTTAATTTCTTCCTTTAACACTGAAATCTTACATGTGAAAAGAATTCATTTAACTAGATGGCTGCCAGGTCCTAAAACAGGGACAGCGAGGAACAAACGGTCCACCATTCCCAGTGCCGAGAACAACCCAGCAGGGTAGGGGCCACATGCAGGGGAAGGGCTGAGCTCACAAGTGGGAAAGAGGCTGTGTCCTTATCCCTCAGAATGGCTGGGCCAGCGACTGCCCGGAGAAACACAGGCAGAGAGATAAAGGTACTCAATGCTCAGGGGAGAGCAGCCTAGCATATGAGGGGTGGGGCTGCTGGCCTGGGCTCAGAGGTGACCTCAGGGATGAGCGGAGAATGGATTTAACAGTCGGGACAAGCAGAGCAGGGTGCCCCACCGACAAGAAGCCAATGGAAAGGGGACAGAGTCAGGCAAAGGCAGACAGCTCCTTCAGGAGCACAGAGTCTCTGCCAAGCCTGAGTGCGCACCTAGAACCTGGCACGCTCCCGCGGAGCACCAGCACCTGAGGCAGGGCCCCCTCCATCCCAAAATGCCTTGTTCTAAAAGCAACAACTGCCCAGAGCCATTTCCTCCAATGCAAGCTCGTGGCCTCTTAATTAGTGTTTGAAAAATAAAAAAAGGTTTTTAATTGACAAGTGACAGTTTCATGCTGTTCTGTTTCCTTGGCAATTCATTATATTTCTAATGAGTGTCTGTCTCCGGTGCTGAAAATGACTATGGCGTTAGCAGACAGTGTAACTACGGTCAATCTTGGGTAGTGTACCAAATGGATTTTCCTTACTTTATTTGATAACATTGTTCCTCACTGACTTTTTTTTTAAATTTATTTTATTATTTTGTATGTGTGTACCATCAAATCAGATCTGACTGGTACAGGAGGAGGACACTGCTCCTCCTTCTCCAGCAGAGCATCTGGTGGATTCGAACCGCGCACCTTCCTCACTGACTTGTAATGATATTTTATAATAAACTGAATAAGAAAATCTAAAAAGAAAAAAAGGTTTACACCCCAAACAGAATCAGAATTTTTGATTCCAAGGACCCCAGTGAGGACAGTAAGGCTTACACGTTACCTCTTTGGTAGCTTTAAAGATGTCTTTCTTGCAGGCCGCCGAAGTCCTCCACTCAAAGTAATGCACACAATCTGAGGCAGTGACAAATTCAGGAGTTCCCTAGATAAAGGACAAAATATAACATGTTATTATACCTAGTGTCATGAGATTTTCTTTTATAAAGTTAGAATACAGTGGAGGCTAATGAAAATAAAGTAGCAACAAGAAGAGAAAGAGAAAGGGGGGGGATAAAAAAAAATAAGGAAGTGTAACTCTCTCAGGCAAGGTCATCAACAAGTTCCCAAGTCCAAAAATCTGTAACTAAACTTGCACGAAATCACACTGGAATTTGGGTATGACCGCTCCAAAGCTGTTCCACTGCCCCAGCTATGCAAGTACAGTAACCTCCAGGGACCTGGTCCTCGGACTCCTTCTGCTCTCAAACGGCAAATGTTCTAACCATATGCCAACAAAATCGAAGCCAAAAAACGTGAACTCATATTTCCTGTGAACAGAGGGTGGGGGCCCAGCTGCATCTGTCTGAAGCGTGGACACCTAAGAGACCCTGGACTGGGCCTCGACCCCACGACAGCTATTCACACGAACCAGAGGACTGAGGCCACGCTGGCTGGCCACAGCTGCACTTGGTGATAAAGGGGGGGCTCACGGGTCCCCACGCCCATGTCCATGAAGGGTCTCAGCTTTAAAAATTCTGGTTTGTGTGATGGCAAATCAATCTCTTAAAGGTTCAAATTAAAGTTCAAATTAAAATAGCAGCTAACGCATTGAAAAACAAGGAACTCATGCAATATCATTCAAAATGGGTGACTCTGGAGAACATTATACTGAGTGAACTATCTCAGTCAGAAAAAGACAAATACTACATGGTGCCACTGTTGTGGAACGGGACTGACATCAGGGCTGGGGGGGACACTGAGGAAAAACTGGATAAATTATGTATAATGCATTGAAACAGATGAGGGAGAGAACTGTTTAAAGGGAGAAAAGTGCAACAATGAATGAATAGAAATCCAAAATCTCTGTAAATGTTCATTAAAATGAATAAAATAGCAGCTAACATCCTCTCTCCAATAGCTCTTCATATTTCATATCTCCGCAAATCGATTCTTTCCTAAAACGCCAGCATGTGGGACTACGCAGCCACCAGGCTGATGCACGACACTGTTGGTGCTATCAAAGTACTCAGCGGCTAACCAAAAGGTCAGCAGTTCAAACATAGCAGCTGCTCCAAGTGAGAAAGATGGGATGGTCTGACCCTGAAGAGTGCTACTCTGTCCAACCGGTTTGCTCGAGTCAGATGATGACCGTGGGTTAGGGAACTGGTGGGTATTTTTAAAGTTTTTTAGATGAGGCATGTTGTTGTTGTTGTTGTGTACCATTGAGTCAGAACCAACCCATAGCAGACACTCGAGCGGGTTTTCAGAGACAGTTAATTGCATTTGTTTCCCTCCAAGTTCTTCAGATGAGGTATAATAAACCTGGAGATGCAAGGGTCACGGCCCCAAACGCGAATCTTCTATTTTAAAATATTTCTGTAGCTAAGTTTCTCTCAACGTGAATTTTCTCAGCACTTGAGTTGCTACGCTGATGAGAGGACACTCTTGGGATTTGCACGCGGGTTGCTGCTCCTAAAAGCTAGCAATCACCTACTGAAAGTGTCTTCTTAAAGGCTAAATATTAAAACCAAGAAATCATGTACAACTTGCACAGATTTAAGAACAAACATCATGCATTCCATAACTAAGTCTCCTTCGGACTCAAGTGAGGATCCCACAGCTTGGGAATTCCATTACCACTAGCTCAGGCTGCTTCTAAAGAAATGGCGGGGTCTTTTTAATTTAATGTAAACAAGCAAAGAAAAACAGTTGTTAAAAATAAACACATGGCCCTAAAACCTGTCAAAAAAGAAATGCTGTGAGGTTTGAGAAATTTTTTAAAAAAAGTACCTACGGCAAAAACATTAACAGTGCTTGTTACTCTCTCACCCTGTGCATCAGAACTTTAGACTTCCAGAAGGTGTGGGCCGACTTTTAAAGTTTTAACTGGAGGCTGGGGGTTTGCTTACAGGTTTGTGGTGGTGGTGGTGGTGATTTGGCTGGTATTTGTGTTTTTTACTTCTGCTCACTTATTCTTTCTGGAATAGCTCTGTCAGAAGAACTCCCCTGGGACACACAAGTGGCCCAAAAGAAACACAGAAAGAGGCTGTGTGCACTCACCAGGGTTTTCCCACACAGGAAGGTGATGCTACTCTGGACTCTGTGATTGGCATTTGGATGCTCACAGTTCAATGTCGTGTTGAATTCCAGAAGAGATCTGGTTCCACTTTTCAAAAGAGAGTCACCTATGAAGAGAAGACAGAAAACAAACAAGCGATAAAACATATGGAACCGTCAAACTATTTCTAAGGATAAGCAATTTGAAAGTGGCACTGTAGTTCATTGGAAAGCTCAGACACTTTAAAAACTACCCTTCTCTTTGTGACTGAGATATTTCACTCAGCATCATGTCCTCCAGGGTCACCAATTTTGAATAATATTGCATAAGTTCCTCATAGTATTCCATTGTGTGAATATAACAGAATGAAGGTTGCGTAGTGGAGTGTACTCCAAGCGGGAGTTGGGGGGGGAGGGGATTCTGTACCAATGAAGGAATTTTTCTTTTACTTTTCAAAGAGAAGAGCGAACTGGGGGGGGGGGGGCGGGGAACAGGGAGAAAAATGCAACAATGAATGAATGGAAATCCAAAATCTTTGCAAATGTTCATTAAAATTAATAAAATAAAATTGGGGGGAAAACCCAACCCCCTCCCCCAAAAAAGACATCAGTAGAGCAGAGAAAAACATTTAAAAAAAAACCAAAAACAAACAAACCCAAACAAAAAAACTACCCCTCTCCAGAACACCTCATCTCAGGAGTGTTATCCCCATCCATTCAGCTCTACAAGCTCCACTCTTGTCGCCTAAGCCGAGCTGTCTCTCATCCACCACAGCTAATATATCTCTAAGTTCTATTGTTTCTACCCACCCAACACGCATCCATCTCTACTACTATTAAAATCTCTTGCCTGTATTCCACCCCCTAACTGGCCTCCTTGCTTCCATTCTTTCAGCTCACCCACTCACGTCCCCTCATCCATCTCCCATCAGGGTGATCTTAAAAAAACATCAATTAGAATATATGCCTTTGCTGCTGAAACTCTTCATTAACCTCTTAATTACACATGCTACAAAATCAGAATTCTTTAGTATGATCCACAGCAAGGTGGCCATGTCTTAGCCCAGAAAATTGTTTACTCCAGTTCTGGAGTACTTAAGAGATCTCTTCTCCTTCAAAAGTGTCCAAGTTCAGATGATAAACTACTTGTTCACCTTATCTGAAACTCCCAAGAGCCCTAACACTCTATCTCCTAAATTCTTGCTTTAACTGTCCTTCAACTCCCTTGGCCTCATGCCAATCTTGCTTCGACCCCAGGGCTTCTGCATCAGACTTTTTAGTTCTTCAGAAAGCTGCTCTAACGTGTCTCCTAATGAGACATACTGCTAACTTCCGGTCGCTTGAATCACAGTTCAAACTTCTTTTCTCCAAAGAAGTGCCCACTGTCCACTTCACATTGCCTGACTGCCTTTTCTCTCTTCACACTTCCAATTTTTTGAAATTGTCTTAGGTGTTCTATCTCTGGCTAGGATGACAATGAATACTTTGTCTGTCTTATCTAACTTTGTAACCCACACATGTATCAGCATGTGTTTGTGGGAAGCATCTGTTTAGTAGTATTTACTGAATAAAATCCCAGCTCACAATCTTTCACAGGGAGCTGTATATTAACTTAAAATTGAAAAGTTCCAGAGTAATATAGTCTCTCTCTATATGTCTTTTTAAGAACTCATTATCTCTAAAAGTTCTAGTCAAACTTAACAGGAGGCAGAGGATTTCGGGGAAAGGATGAAGGAAGAGGTAGGAACCTTTATTTCATATACGTCTATACTGTCTGAAATTCTCAACAGGCAAGCACTTCCTCAGAATTAGCAGCAACAAGAATTAAGCACAAAAGAACCCATTCTTACTAACCTAAGTGGCTAGATTTTCAGACTATTAACTATGTAACCTATGTAAAATGCTTAGCAACTACCTAACATTTTCTAAGTTTTTAATAAATATTAGCTACTAGTATCAATAATGGTGACTTTTAGTCTTTTTTTTCTTTCTTGTTGTGTATTGTCAAATCAGATCCGACTGGCACAGGAGGTGACTGACTCTCTTTCTGCATCAGACCATGTGGTAATTTAGTCTTAAATATATTTATTTTGTTGTTGATTGCCGTCAAGTCGAGCACGACTCATAGCGACCCTATGAACAAAAAACCTGAAGCCTTTATTTTAGTAAATTTTTTTAAAAAGTTTAAGTCTTTACTACTAATCTCTCTCGCTTTCTCTCACTTGCTCTCTCTCACATGTACTATGTAGAGCTAAAGAAATACTGTGGGAAACTGTACAGTGGATGAGTTAGTGCTCCAGATGTGCATTTCTGAGCTTTAACATAAGAGTCCCTAAGGCAAAGAAAATCCATGTGGAAAGAAAGGGGAAAGAGATCACAGCGGAAATTAGTCAGTGTCTACATTGGTTCGCCAGGTTCTTGCTCTTTTTTTTTCTTTTTAAATCAGTTACAGCACTCTGTGCTCTTGTGCTGAGTTGAGTAGCCCCTGGCTCTGCCAGGGGGCCTCCTCCTCCACAGTCCCCAGTCCTCCCCCACTCAGGCCTCAAGGTCTTGAGACACTAAGACTGGGTCCTGCCTTTTCTCATTTGCACTGTCTGACAAAATAAACAGCACCCACCCCTATGGGTAAAGGAGGCCAGCAGCCAAAGAAAATAAGATATTTGAGGAACCATTTAAAAAGTAAAAAAAAAAAAAATGCTGGGTTAGAGATGGAATAAAATGAGAACTATGAGAACACACACAAAAAAAAACCTTATAAACATATTTTAGGAGATAAGAGAAGGTATTAGCAATCTAAATTAGCACAAGCAAAATAACAGATATAAGAAATAAAAAAAATAAAATTTCTAAAGAAACACACCATAGATGGAAGATAAAGGAACGGATATATAGCTGAGGAACAAACTTTTAAGATTAAACTGAAGAAAAATGTCAGGAGAGAAAATAAAGATATGGGTTATACAAAAGAAAAGGCAAGACAGAAGTTGAAGGGCTCATATCCAGAAAATAGAAGTCCCAGAAGAAAAAGATCGAAAAGACAAAAATCTCTGAAGAAAAAAATATGAAATGCCTTTGTTGTTGCTATGTACTGCTGAGTCGGAACTGACCCACGGCCAACTCTCCAGTGGGTTTTCAGAGGCACTAACTCCCACAGGAACAGAATGCCCATGTTTCTCCTACAAAGCAGCTGGTGGATTTGAACCAGGGACTTTGGGTTAGCAGCACACCTCCTTACCACTAAGCCACCAGAAAATGTCTTTAGAAGTCCAAAAATCAATTAAAATAGATGAAAGACATTAGACTGAGAGAACACATGAGATGACAAAGAGGAAAAATAAGGAAAAACTGACACCCAGTCACTATAAAAACCACTCCAGTTTGTCCTGTACTGCGCTGCTAAGTGGAAGGTCAGCCCTTCAAATCCACCAGTCGCTCCTCAGGAGGAAGATGGGGGCATCCTCCTACATAGATGTCCAGCCTTAGAAACCCGGGGGGTGGGGGACCCCCACCATGCTGGAATGGACTCGACAGCAGTGCACTTGGGCTTAGGCACACGATGGTAAATTTTAATATTCAAAGTCCAAACGAAAACGCTGAAGACAGATCACATGCAATAATAGCTCAACAGAAAAACGGAGAGAACTTCATCAAAGAGAACAAAAACTATATGCCAATTAAAAGACAAAGAGCTGTTTGACATCACTGATGATTTAGGAATTAGAAATCAAGTCCACCACAAAGACAGAGCATTTAGAGCCATTTCCTTGGGGGGGAGGGAAGGGAAACCCAAACAAACAAAAAACAAAACAAAACAAAACCCCAGCACTAAACTAAGTACCAGCGAAGCTATGACCAAGGTGTTCCAAAGTTTTGAGTGGAAATGCAAAGGGGTATACATTATGTATGAGTCAGTATGGGATTGTATCCCTCACCTCCTTCTTTCTCTCTCAATAACGTCAGGTCAGGAAAGACTCATGACTGACACTCCTGCAGGTTTTCAGAAGCTGTAAACTGCACAGGAGAAGAAAGCTCCTCTTTCTCCCATGGAGTAAGTGGTGAGTTCAAAGCACCTGCATTTGGGTGGGTAGTGCAACTCCTTACCCACTAAATTCATGGACTCTAAAATCCAGATATGCTGTACTATTCTCTGTTAGGTATACACAAGAGAAAAGCATGTACGTGGATAACATGAAATACATGAGACAGTATTTAGTATATTTTTAAAATCAAGAAAATGGAAATAACCAACTCTCCAAAAGAAAATAAATTCATTCTGATAGAGTCACACAACAGCATATAGTAGTTAAAAGAAGGGAATCACAGTGAAAGGTAACAACATTGTCAAGTTTTAGCATATATTACTGTTGTTATTAGTCCCAGAAATTTGCACACAGCAAATTTACTTCCATTCATTCATTTATTTATTTATGAAATAAAACGAATTGCCATCAAGTTGGAATCAACTCATAACTGACCCTCCAGCAGGTTTTTCTTGAGGTGTTAAGTCATACAGAAGAGAATGCCCACCTTTCTCCTATAGAGCTGCTGGTGGGTTTGAACCTCTAGAAAGGTGCTTTGAGCAGCACAACCCCCTACAGACTCTGCCACCAGATACGTACATATACACATAGATAGATACACACAAATTCTGCATACAATTAAAGAGATTACAGGTACATACATGTAACTTTTTGAAATGTCAACAGCTACAGATAAGAGTTTTTTAGAAAATGTAAATAATTCGTTCAGGCTCACGATTACGTCCGCAGGGAGGGGAGAGGGAAAACAGTCATCGTTGAAGTCCTAGTTTTTGTTAGAAGCGTCCTTCATGACATCAACATTGTTCAATGAATGAACACAAGGTACACGTGTTAACAAATATGTGTTATAAATTCAGGATTATGACAGATCTAACATGATACATATGGTCTCTGGTGGCCCAGTGGTAAGAAGCTGTGCTGCCAACTTAAAGACAAGAGGTTCAAATCTACCAGCTGCTCTTTGGGAGAAAGATGGACAATTTCCTGTTGTGTGATTCATAGCCTCCAAAAACATGCTAGAGGGTCACTTAAAAGTCAGTTCCAACAAGGTAGCAAGAAAATGAATTGAATATGATGCATCAGAGGTC